AATACCAACCATCCTAGATACAATACAAATTGCTCTGCTAAATTTTGGCGCTCTACGTCAAATAATGTGAGCTGTATCGTCATTTCAACAGACGGACATCGTTAAATCGACTTAGAATTTTATGCTGATTGAATATATTCCAAGGTGGAGGGTATAAAAATATTAAGTTCGGCCGGCCGAACTTTCAATACCCTACAACCAATTATGACCCACAAATACCAATTTTTAGACATATTCTTGGGAAAATGTGGCAAAAATCATCAAAATACCGAATATCGGGAGGTATCGCTATATAGGGCTATACAAAAGCGTGGACCTGTACATAGAACTCATTATGACCAAAAATTCCAATTTTTAGACAAATCCGTGATAAAATGTGACAAAAACCATCAAAATACCGAATATCGTAATATCGGCGCACGAACTAGGACCCATTATGACCTACAAATACCAATTTTCAGACAAATCCGTGAAAAAGTGTGGCAAAACTCATCAAAATACCGAATATCGGGGGATACCGCTATATGGGAACTATACCAAAATGACACAATACATATTATTCGGCTAAAATTTGACGCTCTACGTCAAATAATGTGGGCTGTATCGTGATTTCAACAGACAGACAGACGGCCATCGTTAAATCGTCTTTATGCTGATTATGAATATATATTATTTATGGGGTCTACGACGAATATTTAGGGATGTTAAAAACGGAATGACAAAGTTAATATACCCTCCTTTCCAAGGTGGAGGGTATAATAATTTGAAATTGCAATATAATTGGAATATTCAATCCTAAAAAGGCCGGAACGAGCTTTCGAGTGAATGAACTACTTGCTAGTCTACCTAATTCCAATGTGTTTTGCATTAGGTCTTCCAATTCTTTTAAGAGAATGTAGGCCGATAAAGTTAAAAAAGAAAATCATTTTGAGCATTATTGTGAGAGCCAGCCAGATAAACGTATCAAGATATATTATCATCTTAGTCAATACGGCTGCGCAGAGATAACACTAAAGCAGCATTTATCGATAACAACCATTTTTTAAATAGCTTACAATTTCTCAAATGAATCCTCATAGATGAGTTTAATCTGGCAATAAACTCGCCCTGAACATTATATACTCGAATTAACGCGTACATTAGTAATAATTTATTTTTTCATACCACAGGGTATTATGGCGTTGTGCATTTGTTTGTAACATGGAGAATAAAGCGAAATGGACCCATAGTTCATTTTCTATGCAGAATCACTGTCTGGGTCGATTTATGAATATCCGTCCACCTGTCCATGTATTTTTTTAAACAAATGCAGGTTACTTTATTGCCCGATCGAGATGATACTTTGCACAATTGATTGGTATGGTTCAAGGAGAACTCTATTAAAATTTGAGATAATCGGTCGAAATTTAAATATAACTCTCATATATATCTTCGTCCGACTAACCTTTTATTGTGCACCAAATATGTAATATTAGGGAAAATGGGACAGAATTTGGCTCGTGCAACCATACAGGGTGAGATGAAAAAACTCCAACGAACTTCACTCGTCCGACAGCTATTAGAATTATTCCAGTGACAGCCAGAAAAAAGTTATTCGTGATAGAATTTAAGCGTAATAGTGTGATTTCTTTATATTTGGCTGGAAAACCACAAGTGGCTATCGTTAGGGCAATCCAGCATTTAAATGTGAAAAAATCTTTGGTGTTTCGTACCATCGCTCGTTACAACTACCGTGATACTGGTAGCATAGCCGGACGTAAAGAAAGTGGACAAAAGAAAACAGCAACATCAGCTGAAATGGTTCGAAAAGTAAAGAAGCAACTTGATCGAAACCCGCGTCGCAGTGGCCGAAAAATGGCTCGTGAGCTGAACATATCGCAATATTCCATTCGGCAAATATTGAAAAAATGAGCTCGGGGTAAAGTCATTGAAATTCCAAAAAGTGCAAGAACTTACACCGCAACAGAAAGAAAATATACTCAAAAGACCTAAAGAGTTGCTTCGCTTGGCCGAAACTGGTAAACAGCCGAATTTGGTTTTTTTTTGATGAGAAAACATTCGTTGTCCAGCAGTTTGTAAACAGACAAAATGATCGTGTTCACCTGCCAAAGTGGTCAGCTGAAAATGTGCACCTGCGGTTGGCCACCAGAACTCAAGCGCCGGCCATGGTGATGGTGTGGACCGCCATAACAGCCGATGGTCGCTCTCCGCTCGTACTAATCGACCGTGGCATCAGAATAAATACCGAAAATATTCTGGAGGGTGTATAAAAGCCTTGGGCACGCAAACATTTTGGCCGCAGACCTTGGACGTTCCAACAGGACTCAGCAACATCGCACTCAGCACGCGCCACCCAAGATTGGGCTCAAAATGAGGTTCCTTGCTTCATTTCCAGCGCACAATGGCTACCAAAACCTCCGGATACCAATCCGTTGGACTTTTGTGTCTGGAGTATTTTGGAAAGCAAGGTTAGCATTAAAAAATACCAAAGTGTCGATCACCTCAAGCTAGCGCTTCGCCGGGAATGGGCCAAAAGTGTCTTATGAGCTTCATGGATATTTAAAATTTTGACCTTTTGTGAGAGAGTTACCAGAACGAGTGAACCGATATATTCCATCTTCACACCAGACCTTGGGTTAATAAAAATATTGTGATGTGTGAAATTTGAAGACAATCGGACTCTTACATCACTTTTTATAAGAGTTATAATTATTAAAACTTTGATCCTATGTAGGGGAGGTACTTCATGGAGTGGATGGATATGATCCATTTGTGCACCTGACCTAGCACTGATGCAAATATTTCTGTGCAGAAAATATATTTTGTAAAAAATTCGATATTTGTGGGGAGGTACCAGAAGGAGTGGACCGATATTGCCCATCTCCGAAACCCGATCTAAGTTTGACAAAAATATTACGATGTACCAAGTTTGGACCAAATCGAATACTCCCTTCGAGAGTTATCGTGCGTACCAGCCAGCCAGACAGACAGACGGACGGACGGATATCGCTAGATCGACTCCAAATGTCCTGAAACGGATTTGGTACAAAAAGACCTAGGGTCTAAAACCCTTATTTCGATGAGACACGTTTTGGTCGTATCAAATGATATATATCCTCTCTAGCCATACGCCTGAGGGTATAAAAAACATAAAATATGTATAAAATCTTTATAATTTCATTTTGACGATTATTTCATGCATATATTGGCCGCGACTGCGCCTCTAATGATCCATTTGCTTAGTCCAATTTTGGCATACTCTTTCCAACGTTTCGGGTTAATTGAAGCTGTCTCGACCTTTATCATTGCAACAAAAAAGTCCGAACCGGTCCCGAACGTGAAATTAAATGTTCACCGAACTCTCTCTCTCTCTCTCAATAAGAAACCAATGATACCACCATCTCATAAACCGCGCCAAACTATGACATTTATACCCTCCACCATAGTATGTTATTCCGATTATAACATCTCGAAATATACATTTTAGACCCCACAAAGTATATATATTTTTGATCAGCATACAATTCTATGTCAATTTAGCGATGTCCGTCTGTGGAAATCATATAACGGTACCTCCCGATATTCGGTTTTTAGATGATTTTAGCGACAGTATTCACCGGAATTGTTTCAAATTTGGTATTTGAAGTTCGTAATCGATACTAGAGCCTAAGACAGAGCCTAAGCAGGAACCTCCTGATATTTGATATTTTGAGTTCGTAATCGATACTAGAGCCTAAGGCAGAGCCTAAGCAGGAACCTCCTGATATTTGATATTTTGATGATTTTAGCGACATTATTCATCGGAATTGTTTCAAATTTGGTATTTGGTAATCGATACTAGAGCCTATAACAGAAAATTGTCTTTCTGTCTTCGTATAGCCCCCATATAACGGTACTTCCCGATATTCTCTATTTTGATGATTTTATTTACTTTATTCACCGAATTTTTTATTCAAGTGCCGCATTTGAATATTGTAATGACTTATGACAAAAGTTACCTATGCAGGTCCACGCCGTCGTATAGATCCTAATATAACGGCTACATTCGATAGTTTTAAGATTTCAACAGAATTTTTAACGGATTTTTTTTTTTGAAAATTGCCAAATTTGATCCAAATGGTGGAGGGTATTCAAAGTTCGGGCCGGCCGAACTTACAGCTTTATTTACTTCTTTCTGGTGTATTTTGCAATGCTTCTGGCTGTTCTTCACTCCAAAATCGATAAAGCTGTTTACCTACGTTTCCATTGATTCAAAAATGGGCTTCGGCGCAAAATGGACGATGCGTGCTATGATCTTTCTTCACAGAGCAGACGTTTCATGGTGATTCTATAGACCAAACTAAACATGTTTGACAGTGAAACAAAACACATTACGTGTGTGAGCTATTAAAACCAGTGTTGCCATAAAGACTATAGCTGAAAAATCACCCTTTTTTTATAACTATTTCTAATACCGAAAATCCTTGAGAATATATTAATTTCCAGGAGACCTTTTAATGCTCTTTCTCTCTCTCTCTCTCTTATTTTAAGAACCCTTTATATCAATGTGCGGCCCAAAATTAAATTTTTTTCTTACAAGAGTTTTATGATCGTGATGCCAAACCCTTATTTAAATGTAATGCTGATCAATGTGATAATTTCTATCATCTTTTTTTACCGATTGTCTGGATCGAAACGCATATGTGTTATGAAATAGTTGCTTTTCACATTTTCGGTCCCACCAATGATTTGCATGGTCTTGCCGGTTTGACCTGATTTTTTGTTTGTTTGTAAAACACAATATTTTCTTTTGACGTTTTCCTAGTTGACAACAATGGTACAAGCTACAGACAAAACAAAAAAAAGTAACATAAACAACAACTTTGGAGAAATGTATGCACCAAAAAAAACGCTGTTGGCCGCTAAATGTATGAGAATTCATGTATTACCAAATAAAGTTTTGTGGAGAAGAAAGAGTGTAAAAGAGAGTGAAAGAAAGGCAATGTTAATGTTATGGCCAAAAGATGTGGACGATGACGGCTGCAGATATAACCAACAAGTTGCTGGTGAAGCTGGAAATTTTAGTTAGTTTGCCAAGATACCTCAAAGCGTGAAGGTGACAAAGTGTATACGTAAACGGCGGACAAAAAGGAGAAAATTTATTAACAAAAAAAAAAAAACAAGAAAAAAGAAAACGAATTACGTGAAAGCCTAAAAAGTGCATAAAGCAATTGATTGTATTAAAATACACAAAAATAAAAAGAATTTAAAATTCAAATACTTATCGGCACATTCTTTAAAATAATATTGATTTAAAATGGTAGGTGAAGAGAAGACTAAATTGAAATAAACGATCCTACAAAACTTTTTATTGTACATCGCCATACTTAATCGTGTAAAAGATTGACAGATGTGCGTGTTTTCACGTTTGTTTTGTTTACATAAATAACAACAACAACAAATAAGGTGAAAATAAAAGTTGGCAATTGGTGTTTTTTTCGTACAAGAAATAAATACTCACAAATCTTGAAAAATCCAAATATTTGCTTTTGATTTGAGAGTTTTTTTTTATTGTTAACTGCTCAAAATACAAGAAAATAAAAAAGTTCTGCCTTTTTAGTTATTATGACTTAAAACACTGCCAAAATTTGAAATATCTAGGAGCAATGTCTGCAAGTTTGCTAACATGATTTTGTTGTTTTATTGATAGTTGCGTTTTGAGGCGCCAAAAAATGGATGTAGACATGTTCATAAACAATAGTTATTAGCTTTAATAACACTGTGCAACACAACAAATATTTTCAGAAAAAAATTATTAGATTTTGAAAATAGAGCTAAAAGTAGAAGACCCGTGTATCGGCGTTTTGAATGTTTAAATTGATAGTAACTTAAATAGAGAGACAAGTTCCCACATCTCCAACATTAATTTAAATGTTCCGATTAATATTCCTCGAAATCCTTTCATTTTAGGGATATTGTGTCCTCGCCAATATTACTCATAACAATACGAGGATTATTTTTATCAAGACCCTTTTTGGAGGGGATAGTAATTAGCCCAAATATTCCACAAATTTATTTGCCATAAACAAAAAAAAGGAAAAAAAAAACACAATAAAGGGATTATGTCTGAGCATTTTGCAACAACAAAATACTATGGTATCCCGAACAAACAAGCCAACACTGTTCTAAAAGAAAACAGTAAAGAGAGGCCAAAATTGGATTGCACCGAAATTATGATACACTAAGTCACTTTCTATATATAGTAGGGCTACATATAAGAAATAAACGTTTTTATGGGGAATAAAGGGGCAACTACATAAAAAGCTTGAAGTCATGGCAAGGCATATTAATGTCAAATTATAATGGAAAAAAATGTAATCCCTTTTTAGGAAATGTCACAAAATTTGCCTAGCCATGACTTCAAGCTTCTTATGTACTTACACTTAAATCATCCCAACTATGGTCGTTTTGAATGCGTATTGTGGCTTAAAAGCATTTACAATTTAAAGCCGAAAGGAACTAATATATGGCAGTCTTCTATCGTATTTTACTAAATTCGACGGAGGCATTTTTGTCTGAACCGATATTCATCAAAATCCATCCTTTACAGCTGATATTACGCTTCTTACTTATAATAAACGTTAAATCATCCTAATCTTAACCAATCTCTCAAAGGTATTTCTATACTGTTTCTGATAGTTGGGACCAAATCAAGTTGTTGTCGAGAGTATTTTACGGGTGTGAGGGACTTAAATACAAAATCGGATGAAACTTATATATGGGACTTATGCCTATATTTTCACCGATTTTTACCAAATTTGATACACTTTTGTATAGGACGAATTCGTTCTTATCTGCCAAAATCCATTCAATTCGGACCTAAATTAATCATTTGATGCGCAATAAACTTAAAATTGAGTAAATATATGTAGATGGGAGCTATATCCAAATCTAAACCGATCTCGATAAAATTTGGCAGAGGTATTGCATGGCTGTATCTGATATCTGGTATCATATATCTTTGTTGTGGAGTGCATATTACGAATGTGAGGAACTGAAAGACTAAATCGGACGAAACATATATATGGGGGTTATAGCTATATTTGAATGATTTTTCAACAAATTTGATGTACTTGCTTTTATATTGACTTATATTGGCCAGTAACCCGAAATCGGTTGAACATATTTGGAGCTATATCTAAATTTGCACCGATTCTCACCAATTTCAATATGGTTCGTCCTTGGGCAAAAAAATATTTGGAAATTTTCATCTCAATCGTATAATAAATGCGACCTGCATTTTCTTCACAAAAGTACATGGACAGACGGACGGACTATGAAGATCTTCGGTTCCTTTTCCAAAATATTTTTGATTTTGGTGAAATTAAAAATAATAGTGGTTTTATGAAAATTTTCTTATTTTTCTATAACATAAAAGGTATGGTTTATCTTGCCCGCTAAATGTTATTCGATGACCATAAAAATTGGAAGACTTCTCTGTTTTGGCCCATTTCAATCTTTAAATATTTTGCAACCACCTCCAAAAACAATAGGCTTCTATTCTGACTTAAACATTAACTCCGTGAGGATCGAGTGTAGCGTGGTTACAATTTAACATGAACAGACGGTCACACATAGCTATATCGACTCAGCTCGGGAGGTAGGAAGATCCATACATAACATCCTATGTCCAGGACCAATATTTCGAGGTGTTACATAATTTTTGGCCCAATCAAACTTATAACCAAACTTATCAAGTTTAGTATATAAAAAAACTTCTTGCTTTTAAGCTCTTTTTTCTAAGTCAGTTCACAAAGTTAGTATATTAACTCTAAGTATGTAAAAGCCATCCTTGTAGAAATTAATCAACGGCACGACCCGATTTGAACTATTTCGAGAATCTCCGCCTCATGTAAGCAGCCGATGCGAACATTTGATACCCTCCACCATTTGGAAGGAATTTGCAGGATGATTAAAAAATTAAAATTGCGAATATTAGTTGCTATACATAAACCTAGTCCTTTACAGCATATTATCAGCTAGCCAAGGCGGTGCTCATTAAGAATTGAGATAATTCTGTTAAAAAATGTAGCTAAAATCATCAAAATGCCAAATATAGGAAGGTACCGTTATATGGGGGCCTATACGAAGACGTGGAACTGAATTTTCTTTCATAGGATGTAGTACCCGTTTAGGTACTTCAAATTCTAAATTTAAAACATTTCCGGTGAAAAGTGTAACACAAATCATCAAAATACCGAATATCTGGAGGTATGTGGACTATACCAAAACTCAGAGGTATATATAAAGTTCTATGCAAGGATGTTTCTTACATAATGGGAACACAATTTATAAAAAATTTGGGTAAAAATAGAGACTAAACAAGTAAAAAAATTTTGTCGGGCCGAACTTTGAATACCCTCCACCATTTGGAACGAGTTTGGCAATTTTCAAAAAAATAAAATCCGTTAAAAATTCTGTTGAAATCTTAAAAAAATGACGTGGACCTGCATAGGCACCTTTTGTCATAATCCATTATAATATTCAAATGCGAAACTTGAAAACATTTGGTGAATAATGTACCTAACATCATAAAAATACCGAATATAGGGAGGTACCGTTATATAGGGCTACACGAAGACGAGGACCTGAACAGACAATTTTCTGTCATAGGCTGTAGTATCTATCCATTACGAAATTCAAAAAGCCAAATTTAAAACAATTACGGTGAATCATGCCGTTAAAATCACTAAAATATCGAACATTGGGAGGTACCATTATATGAGAGCTATAGCAAAACGTGGACCTACATGGCCCATTTTCAATATCAAAAGTCCCACATATATAATATAATTAGAAGAAAAATCTATAAACCTATTTCAGTTTGTTCGGAAGTTAAAGTGATTTATTTATGACGAACTAAATTGAAAAATTTCTGAAGAAAGTATTCTGGGACAACAGCCCATCTTCTGAAACTGAAACGTTTTTACAAAATTGCAACGCTATTTAAATTATGAATAGGTTTCAAATTATCGAACGTGTATTTTTTGAGATCTTAATTGCGAAAAATATCATTTAGCAAATTGTCTTCCATTTGAAATTGTTGCTTGTACCACTTTAAGGGACTATGTCAATAGTGTAGTGTATCCATATTATAATATTTTAGGAGTTCAAATTATTAATAAGTGGGACCTTCAAAATACCTAAACACCAAATATTGCATATATGGGAGTTATGCAAAACCTTGTCGTCTTTTCAAAAATATAAATTGTTTGGCATTGATTTTGATACCATGTCTAACACCTTAAAAATATTCAAAAAAGATATGTTCGAAGATTTAATATTGTGAGCTCTAACGTGTATTCACCGGACTGAAATGTCTAAATCGAATCAGAATTTAACGCTGAGCATCGTATGTGACTATTTTCTTTTTATGGTCGTATGTAAAAAAATATATTGAAATTTTAACGTATTTTTAGTGCTACAGCATCCCTAATTTCATATTCAATTTCTCAACGTTTTTTTTTTCTCTTTCAAAAAACTTAAAATTGCAACTGATTTGTTTTTATAACCCTTCGACACTTCAAAAAGCTATTAACATATTTCGTCTGTGTGCGTGTACGTGTGTTCATAGGCCAAAAAACATAACGTGTGGTATGTTTATGACTTTTACATTATGTTTGGTTTCTACTCATTTTTCTCAAAGCAATGTCTTTAGCCACAAAGCACGTGTTATTTACACGACGAAGTTCACGACGTGTTGTGAGCTATTATATAATATAATTATTAACATTAATGGATAGATGCAATGTTTGATACACACACATACATAATGACCACAAAATTGTATCACTTAGTCGTAAAAAAATATTTAAAATGAGCAAAGTAAACAAATTAAAGGTCAAATACAACAACAAAATACAACAAATGACCTGCATTCCTTTTGTGAAATTTTTTAATGGCGTTTAAATTACGTTTGATATTGAAATAAAACAAATTATTTAACAGAGGAAATTTGGACTAAAGTTTTCAAAATATTGAAAATCGAATACTATGTTAATTGGGTTGGTAGATATTGTGAGTACAATAGGACCAAGTTGGACTTACAATAGCCTGAGCCCAAAGAAATCATATTCAAACATAAATAATTTTTATTCTTTTGTGAGTTAAATATCAAGGCCTATATAAGTTTTGACAACAATTTGACAATAAACTTAGTAGTTCTCAAAACCGTTGTGATTTGTCTTTTTTTAAAATTTTAAATTACAATTGTTTATTTTGACTGCAAACGTTGCAGTCAAGTGTGCTTATTTAGGCCTT